CCCCGTAATATCACTGATCACAATGAAATCTCAGGAGCCATTTATAACAATGTTACTATTTTTCTTTGCAATATTCCTTTGTTGGTGTTTAACAGAATATTCAGATGGATCTACGATTGTTACTATACGGCAGGGGGGTCTCAACCAGGGTTCCATAGGGAATCTACTGATATCTACTATGATTGTCACAATATGGTCCAGGGCAGCACAGTGGCTAAATGGTTAGCACTTCCACCTGGTATTTCTAGGGTCATTGGGTCATTGGTTCTCAACCAGGGTTTCATAGAACCCTAGGGTTCCTCCAGAGGTTGCTAGGGGTTCCTTGAGCGATGAGCAGTTTCTGTCTGGTTAGCACTTCCACCTGGCATTTCTAGGGTCATTGATTCTCAGCCAGGGTTCCTACAGAGGTTGCTAGGGGTTCCTTGAGCGATGAGCAGTTTCTGTCTGGCTAGCACTTCCACCTGGCATTTCTAGGGTCATTTGTTCTCAACCAGGGTTCCATAGAACCCTAGGGTTCCTCCAGAGGTTGCTAGGGGTTCCTTGAGCTATGAGCAATTTCTGCCTGGTTAGCACTTCCACCTGGCATTTCTAGGGTCATTTGTTCTCAACCAGGGTTTCATAGAACCCTAGGGTTCCTCCAGAGGTTGCTAGGGGTTCCTTGAGCTATGAGCAATTTCTGCCTGGTTAGCACTTCCACCTGGCATTTCTAGGGTCATTGATTCTCAACCAGGGTTCTTCCAGAGGTTGCTAGGGGTTCCTTGAGCAATGAGCAGTTTCTGCCTGGTTAGCACTTCCACCTAGCATTTCTAGGGTCATTGATTCTCAACCGGGGTTCCTCCAGAGGTTGCTAGGGGTTCCTTGAGCGATGTGCAGTTTCTGCCTGGTTAGCACTTCCACCTGGCATTTCTAGGGTCATTTGTTCTCAACCAGGGTTCCATAGAACCCTAGGGTTCCTCCAGAGATTGCTAGGGGTTCCTTGAGCGATGAGGAATTCTGCCTGGTTAGCACTTCCACCTGGCATTTCTAGGGTCATTGGTTCTCAACCAGGGTTCCTCCAGAGGTTGCTAGGGGTTCCTTGAGCGATGAGCAGTTTCTGCCTGGTTAGCACTTCCACCTGGCATTTCTAGGGTCATTGGTTCTCAACCAGGGTTCCTCCAGAGGTTGCTAGCAGTTCCTTGAGCGTTGAGCAATTTCTGCCTGCTTAGCACGTCCACCTGGCATTTCTAGGGTCATTGGTTATCAACCAAGGTTCCATAGAACCCTAAGGTTCCTTGAGAGGTTGCTAGGAGTTCCTTGAACGATCAGCAATTTCTGCCTCTCTGATCCCAATGACACCTTTGATCTTTTTAGCTGTCTATAAGGGGAGTAATTCTTCGTAATGATCACGCGTGTAAGGAAAATCCTACCCACTGACCATCACTCCAATGTATCACGAGTTATAGCTATATTAATTTTTGACAGAGGTTCCCTGGGACCGGAAAGTTATTTCAAGGGTTCCTCTGTGTCGAAAAGGTTGAGAAAGGTTGCTATATGGTAACGAATCTACTGTTATCTACTATGATTGTCACAATATGGTCTACTATTCTTACTATTTTCTTTTCAATATTCCTTTATTGGTGTTTAACAAAATATTCAGAAGGATCTACGATTGTTACTATACAGTTCTCAACCAGGGTTCCATAGGGAATCTACTGTTATCTACTATTATTGTCACAATATGTTCTAGGGCAGCACAGTGGCTAAGTGGTTAGCACGTCCACCTGGCATTTCTAGGGTCATTGGTTCTCAACCAGGGTTCCATAGAACCCTAGGGTTCCTCCAGAGGTTGCTAGGAGTTCCTTGAGCGATGAGCAATTTCTGCCTGGTTAGCACTTCCACCTGGCATTTCTAGGGTCATTGGTTTTCAACCAAGGTTCCATAGAACCCTAGGGTTCCTCCAGAGGTTGCTAGGAGTTCCTTGAGCGATGAGCAATTTCTGCCTGGTTAGCACTTCCACCTGGCATTTCTAGGGTCATTGGTTTTCAACCAAGGTTCCATAGAACCCTAGGGTTCCTTGAGAGGTTGCTGAGGGTTTCTTGAGCCATGAGCAATTTATGCCTCTCTGATAAGTTCCCAATGACACCATTGATCTTTTTAGCTATCTATAAGGGGGTAATTCTTCCCAATGATAAGGAAAATCCTTCCCACTGACCATCACACCAATGTATCATGAGTTGTAAATATTTACATTTTTGACAGAGGTTCCCTGGGACCGGAAAGTTATTTCAAGGATTCCTCTGTGTTGAAAAGGTTGACAAAGGCTGCTATATTGTAACAAATCTACTGTTATCTACTATGATTGTCACCATATGATCCAGGGCAGCACAGTGGCTAATTGGTTAGCATGTCCACCTGGCATTTCTAGGGTCATTGGTTCTCAGCCAGGGTTCCTCCAGAGGTTTCTAGGGGTTCTTGAGCCATGAGCAATTTCTGCCTCTCTGATAAGTTCCCAATGACACCATTGATCTTTTTAGCTCTCTATGAGGAGGTCATTCTTCCCAATGATAAGGAAAATCCTTTTTTCCCAAACTCACCCAATGATAAGGAAAATCCTTCCCACTATACAGTTCTCAGCCAGGGTTCCATAGAGAATCTACTGTTATCTACTATTATTGTCACAATATGTTCTAGGGCAGCACAGTGGCTAAGTGGTTAGCACTTCCACCTGGCATTTCTAGGGTCATTGGTTCTCAACCAGGGTTCCATAGAACCCTAGGGTTCCTCCAGAGGTTGCTAGGAGTTCCTTGAGCGATGAGCAATTTCTGCCTGGTTAGCACTTCCACCTGGCATTTCTAGGGTCATTGGTTTTCAACCAAGGTTCCATAGAACCCTAGGGTTCCTTGAGAGGTTGCTGAGGGTTTCTTGAGCCATGAGCAATTTCTGCCTCTCTGATAAGTTCCCAATGACACCATTGATCTTTTTAGCTATCTATAAGGGGGTAATTCTTCCCAATGATAAGGAAAATCCTTCCCACTGACCATCACGCCAATGTATCATGAGTTGTAAATATTTACATTTTTGACAAAGGTTCCCTGGGACCGGAAAGTTATTTCAAGGGTTCCTTTGTGTTGAAAAGGTTGACAAAGGCTGCTATATTGTAACAAATCTACTGTTATCTACTATGATTGTCACCATATGATCCAGGGCAGCACAGTGGCTAATTGGTTAGCATGTCCACCTGGCATTTCTAGGGTCATTGGTTCTCAGCCAGGGTTCCATAGAACCCTAGGGTTCCTCCAGAGGTTTCTAGGGGTTCCTTGAGCCATGAGCAATTTCTGCCTCTCTGATAAGTTCCCAATGACACCATTGATCTTTTTAGCTCTCTATGAGGAGGTCATTCTTCCCAATGATAAGGAAAATCCTTCCCACTGACCATCACGCCAATGTATCACAAGTTGTAGATATTTTAATTTTTGACAGAGGTTCCCTGGGACCGGAAAGTTATTTCAAGAGTTCCTCTGTGTTGAGAAAGGCTGCTATATGGTAACAAACTTTATTGGTGTTTAACCACTTGTCATCCGGCCGCTGTATATAAACGGCCAGACGGTGGCAGTCCAGGGGTGGGTTGCTGTTCATAAATGGCGCCCGCCTTTTTGGACTGTGCGTGCTCCTTGGGACTGTGCGCGCTCCAGTGCCCGCTGTGTCTTCTGGACACAGTGGAACACCAATCGTCAGACGGGACCTCTGTGTGTCCCGAACATGCAGAGTAGTAAGCAAGATGTCACTTCTGACAACATTCCTTACTACATGTGAAATCAGTGAATGATCACAGAAGTCACATGGTACAGGGCCATTCACAACAGCCCTGTACCATGTGACAAGCTGTGACCAATCACAGCTCATACGGTATTTCTCAATGGCTGCAAGAATGCAGCCAGAGAAAAGGAGAAATGATTGCTTTTACAGTCTTTATGGGTGTAAAAGCAATCAGTGTAAAAAAAAAAAAAAAAAACTTCATCACCCCCCACAAGTAGTACAGTGTCACCATGGTGACATTGTGCTGCTAGGGTGATAGTATGTAAAAAAAAACATAAATAATAATATAAAAAAAAGATAAAATAAAAATATAAAACATTTTTTAAAAAATGATAGTTTTTGGTTATAAACTAATTTGGGTTTTTTTTTTTTTTACTACAAAGATAACTGAATACATTTTGGCCGAGATTTATGATGAAATATTATTTATTTGCAAAATTTTATAAGAAAAACACTTTTTTTTCAAAATGTTGGGACTTTTTCATTTATATAGCAAAAAAAAATAAAAATCCCAGCAGGGAATAAATACCACCAAAATAAAGTTTTCTCTGTCTCAAAAAATGCTAAAACAATTCATATGGGTACAGTGTTGCATGACCACGCAATTGTCATTCAAAGTGTGACAGCGCTGAAAGCTGAAAATTGGCCTGGGGGGGGGGGGGGGGGGGGGGGGGTAAGTGTCCGGACTGGAAGGGGGTGAAAGTGTCCAGACAGGAAGGGGGGAAAGTGTCCGGACTGGAAGGGGGTGAAAGTGTCCGGACTGGAAGGGGGGAAAGTGTCCGGACTGGAAGGGGGGGAAAGTGTCCGGACTGGAAGGGGGGGAAAGTGTCCGGACTGGAAGGGGGGGAAAGTGTCCGGACTGAAAGGGGGGGGGAAGTGTCCGGACTGGAAGGGGGGGGAAAGTGTCCGGACTGGAAGGGGGGGGAAAGTGTCCGGACTGGAAGGGGGTGAAAGTGTCCGGACTGGAAGGGGGGTGAAAGTGTCCGGACTGGAAGGGGGGGAAAGTGTCTGGACTGGAAGGGGGGGAAAGTGTCTGGACTGGAAGGGGGGGGAAGCGTCCGGACTAGAAGGGGGGTGTGAAAGTGTCCGGACTGGAAGGGGGGGAAAGTGTCCGGACTGGAAGGGGGGGGTGGAAAGTGTCCGGACTGGAAGGGGGGGAAAGTGTCCGGACTGGAAGGGGGGGGAAAGTGTCCGGACTGGAAGGGGGGGAAAAAGTGTCCGGACTGGAAGTGGGTGAAAGTGTCCAGACTGGAAGGGGGTGTGAAAGTGTCCGGACTGGAAGGGGGGGAAGGAAAGTGTCCGACTGGAAGGGGGGAAAGTGTCCGGACTGGAAGGGGGTGAAAGTGTCCAGACTTGAAGGGGGGGGAAAGTGTCCGGACTGGAAGGGGGGGAAAGTGTCCGGACTGGAAGGGGGTGAAAGTGTCCGGACTGGAAGGGGGTGAAAGTGTCCCGGACTGGAAGGGGGGTGAAAGTGTCCGGACTGGAAGGGGGGAAAGTGTCCGGACTGGAAGGGGGGAAAGTGTCCGGGACTGGAAGGGGGTGAAAGTGTCCGGACTGGAAGGGGGGAAAAGTGTCTGGACTGGAAGGGGGTGGGTGAAAGTGTCCGGACTGGAAGGGGGGGAAAGTGTCCGGACTGGAAGGGGGTGAAAGTGTCCGGACTGGAAGGGGGGTGAAAGTGTCCGGACTGGAAGGGGGGAAAAGTGTCCGGACTGGAAGGGGGTGAAAGTGGCCGGACTGGAAGGGGGGGAAAAGTGTCCGGACTGGAAGGGGGTGAAAGTGTCCGGACTGGAAGAAGGGGTGAAAGTGTGTCCGGACTGGAAGGGGGGGGAAAGTGTCCGGACTTGAAGCGGTTAACAGAATATTCAGATGGATCTACTATTGTTACTATACGGCAGGGGGTTCTCAGCCAGGGTTCCATAGAACCCTGGGGTTCCTCCAGAGGTTGCTAGGGGTTCCTTGATCGATGAGCAATTTCTGCCTCTCTGATAAGTCCCCAATCACACCATTGATCTTTTTAGCTATCTATAGGGGGTAATTCTTCGCACTGCATGGGAAAACTGTTTTTTTTTTTGCCCAGAGATGAGCTTTAACCTCTCACCCTTCAGAGGATTCCCCCCCTTCCTGGGCAGGCCATTTTTTGGGATACGCACTGCATTCATTTAACTGACAATTGTGTGGTCATGCAACGCTGCACCCAAATGAAATTGATGTTCTTTTTTTCCCTACAAACAGACCTTTCTTTCAGTGTTATTTGATCGCCTGCGCGTCTTTTATTTTGTGCGCTATAAACAAAAAAAAGACGACAATTTTGAAAAAACACTAATATTTTTGACTTTTTGCTATTGAACATGTCTAGTAAAAAAATTTTAAAAAATCTAATTTCGTCATAAATTTAGGCTGAAATGTATTCTGCTCCGTGTCTTCGCTAAAAATAATCCCAAAAAATAATATGTGTAAATTAATTGGTTTACGTGAAAGTTATAGAGCCTGGAGGTATAGATACGGGGATTTTTAAAAGTTTTTTTAATACTAGTAATGGTGGCGATCAGCGACTTATACCGGGATTAAAATTTATGAAGAAATGTTATTTATTTGCAAAATTTTATAACAGAATAGAAGAAAAGTGTGTTTTTTTTTTTTTTCAAAAGTTTCAGGCTTTTTTGTTTTATTTAGCAAAAAATAAAAAAACTCGGTGATTAAATACCACCAAAAGAAAGCTCTATTTGTGTGAAAAAAAAGATAATTTCATATGGGTACAGTGTTGCATGACCGCGCAATTGTCATTCAAAGTGTGATAGCGCTGAAAGCTGAAAATTGGCCTGGACAGGAGGGGGGTATAAGTGCGGTTAAGGGCGTGATGGGTGCCAGCTCCCCAATAACCAGCAAATCCCTGTTTGTTAAGATCGTGGTGAGAGCCGGCTTTTCAATAACCAGTTATTTCCTGGTTGTTAAGGGCACTGCGGGTGCCGACTCTTTAACAATCAGCTGTTTCCTGGTTGTTAAGGACCCTGCGGGTGCCGACTCTTTAACAAGCAGCTATTTTCTGGTTGTTAAGGACGCTGCGCGTGCCGACTCTTTAACAATCAGCTATTTCCTGGTTGTTAAGGATGCTGCGGGTGCCGACTCTTTAACAGTCAGCTATTTCCTGGTTGTTAAGGATGCTGCGGGTGCGGACTCTTTAACAATCAGCTATTTCCTGATTGTTAAGGACGCTGTGGGTGCCGACTCTTTAACAATCAGCTATTTCCTGGTTGTTAAGGATGTTGCGGGTGCCGACTCCTTAACATTCAGCTATTTCCTGGTTGTTAAGGACGCTGCGGGTGCGAACTCTTTAACAATCAGATATTTCCTGGTTGTTAAGGACACTGCGGGTGCCGACTCTTTAACAAACAGCTATTTCCTGGTTGTTAAGGATGCTGTGGGTGCCGACTCTTTAACAATCAGTTATTTCCTGTTTGCTAAGGACGCTGCTGGTGCTGACTCTTTAACAATCAGATATTTCCTGGTTGTTAGGGACTAGGCGGGTGCCATGACAACCAGCCATTCCCAGATTGTTAAAGCAGAACTTCTTTGCCCACACTGCAAGGGTTAAGTACTCATTTTGTCCAAAGGCTCAGGCAAAAGCTGTACTTACCCATTCCTCCGATCCTCCGGAAAACTGCACTCCCCCACCTCCAGCGGTGGACTGTTCCTGTAGTCCTCATGTCTGGAGCTGGTCTATGGGCGTGATGACGTCAGGAACAGCACGTTCACAAGAACGCTAGCGTGCAGTGGGGGGGAGGGCAGGGGCGGAAGGGGCCAGTGGTGCGCTCAGAGGATTCGCAGATTAGGTAAGTATATCTTTGCTTTCCGAACACCTAGAAGACAACAAGCAATTAGCCCATGCAGTGCAGGCACATCCACACTGCATGGGAAAATAATAATTTTGCCCAGAATTCTTCTTTAAGGACATGGCGAGGGCTGACTCTTTAACAACAAATTATTCCCTGGTTGTTAAGGATGTAGCGGGTGCTTGTTCCTTAACAACCAGCTATTCCCTGGTTGTTAAGGACGTAGCGGGTGCTCACTCCCTAACAACCAGCTATTCCCTGGTTGTTAAGGATGTAGCGGGTGCTAACTCCCTAACAACCAGCTATTCCCTGGTTGTTAAGGATGTGGCGGGTGCTCACTCCCTAACAACCAGCTATTCGCTGGTTGTTAAGGACGCGGTGGGTGCTTGTTCCTTAACAACCATCTGTTCCCTGGTTGTTAGGGACACGGTGGGTGTTGACTCCTTAACAACCAGCTATTCCCTGGTTGTTGTAAGGACGTGGTGGGTGCTTACTCCTTAACAACCAGCTGTTCCCTGGTTGTTAAGGACACGGCAGGTGCCAACTCCTTAACAAACGGCTAGTATTCATTAAATTCTGTGTGGCTAGACCAGCTCCTATTTAAGGAATGGTTTTGTTTGTTTCTTATTTTTGTAATTGACTTTTAGACAGGTTCATGTGTTATTTACCAAGCGTTTCTTTGTTTTTACAGTAAATACCTCAAAAACCTGAAGTGAATTGACATTTTTTCATACTGCATGAGATATTTGGGTTAAGTTTGTCACATGACCCGGATATCTCTTGCCGATATCCTTTTGTGAGTTGGCAGGATTCCCCCACAAGAAGAGGGAACTAGAATGAGCTCATGTTCTGGGGAAAACTATGTGATGCTCTATGTGATGGTCTCACAGTGTGCAGTGAAATCAGAGTAAGCCATTTCAGTCCAGGAGACGAGCCGGTACACCTGTGCAAGACTGAAGGGGAGGAGCCAGTACACCTGTGCAAGACTGAAGGGGAGGAGCCGGTACACCTGTGCAAGACAGAAGGGGAGGAGCTAGTACACCTGTGCAAGACTGAAGGGGAGGAGCCAGTACAGCTGTGCAAGACTGAAGGGGAGGAGTTGGTACACCTGTGCAAGACTGAAGGGGAGGAGCCAGTACACCTGTGTAAGACTGAAGGGGAGGAGCTGGTACACCTGTGTAAGACTGAAGGGGAGGAGCCAGTACATGAGTGCAAGACTGGAGGGGAGGAGCCGGTGAACCTGTGCAAGACTGAAGGGGAGGGGCCAGTACACCTGTGCAGGACTGAAGGGGAGGAGCCAGTACATCTGTGCAAGACTGAAGGGAAGGAGTCGGTACACCTGTGCAAGACTGATGGGGAGGAGCCAGTACATGAGTGCAAGACTGAAGGGGAGGAGCTAGTACACCTGTGCAAGACTGAAGGGGAGGAACTAGTACACCTGTGCAAGACTGAAGGGGAGGAGCTGGTACACCTGTGCAAGACTGAAGGGGAGGAGTCGGTACACCTGTGCAAGACTGAAGGAGAGGAGCTGTACACTTGTGCAAGACTGAAGGGGAGGAGCCGGTACACCTGTGCAAGACTGAAGGGGAGGAGCTGTACACTTGTGCAAGACTGAAGGGGAGGGGCCAGTACACCTGTGCAGGACTGAAGGGGAGGAGCCGGTACATCTGTGCAAGACCGAAGGGAAGGAGTCGGTACACCCTTTGCAAGACTGAAGGGGAGGAGCTAGTACACCTGTGCAAGACTGAAGGGGAGGAGTTGGTACACCTGTGCAAGACTGAAGGGGAGGAGCTTTACACTTGTGCAAGACTGAAGGGGAGGAGCTAGTACACCTGTGCAAGACTGAAGAGGAGGAGCTGGTACACCTGTGCAAGACTGAAGGGGAGGAGGCGGTACATCTGTGCAAGACTGAAGGGGAGGAGTCAGTACACCTGTGCAAGACTGAAGGGGAGGAGCCAATACACCTGGTATAAGACTGAAGGGGAGGAGCCAATACACCTGGTATAAGACTGAAGGGGAGGCCGGAGGGAGGGTATAAATGTAACGACGCTTTTTAATTGATGACTGGACTGACTAAGCAGCACCATTTATTCCTTTTTTGAAATGACTTGAAGCCGGAAAGGTTTGGCTCCTGAATTCACAGAACGCAGGAAGAGCCGGAGATCTCCATTGTCAGTCCCGTCACATCTCCAATTATGAATTTACGCAGAGAAATTGGGAATGCATGACACACGCGCACACCGGCGGTCCGATGAATTATGCAACGCTACGCCATGCATTTTATTTATTCGTTGGATTCCCCGCTACGATACACAAAGTGGAGCTTTTGTTTTTTTTCCTTTTTTTTTGAATAATTTTCTTTCCCCGCAGCCCCGGGATGGATGTTGTTGTTTTGAAGGCCGGGATGATTGACAGGAGAAGATAGAAACGCGGGGAGATAAGTCTACGGCGTCCGCCATACACCTCCATATTATTATGACCAAGGTCAAGCGTTGGCGGAAGGTTGGGCGGTGGAGCCCAGATTACAGCGATGTCTGATATTGAAATCTCAGCGGGAGGTTTTGATCCATTAAAAATGAATACAAAATCAGCCTCCATCTAATACTGGAAGAGCGCCTCTGGGTTAGATCACCCCCCCCCCCCCCGCCTCCGCCGCTGAAGATGCAGAGAACACACCCGGCTAATCCTTCCATTTCTTTACCATCACAATTGTGTTTTCTTCCTGGTTTTCTGCTTCTGTTACATTGTTGCACTTCTGTAGTCAGAGCTCTCTCCATAGGATGTCAGATGATAAGGAGATCAACAACCTCCAATCACGGAGCCCGCTTTGAACGTTTACTTAGAAG